GCACACGACTCTGTGAAGCTGAAGTGTCTTTGGACATGTATTCGTTTCATTCCCAACTAATATTATTGTTACCTAATGTTATATTGTATGTTCTCTGTTTTTATAATTCCACCTAGAATCAGTTTGGAACCTAGACTGTTCACTTCTCATCCATAAAAGGAAGCTTCTTTTTGAAGTTGTTTCTTTAACCTCCACCAAATCTTCTGTGCATTTTGTTTTGCAATTATGATCAGTTCAATGTAATACAGTTCCGAATATCATTATTTATATACTTAGTATGGACTGGTGACTCCATTGTGTAATAGTGGATCATCAAACGAACCAGCATGGATCATCACAATGCCTGATAAACGATTCCATAACGACGTCGTCAACCTAAAGTGGGAGTTGAAATTGAAAAATCATGGGAACCCTACCTGCATGACTGAAGTATAAACAGTAGCCTTGTTAAGGTTTGGCTTACTACTGAGTACCTGAAAACTATTTTTTGACAAATATTAGCTTTCTTCCTCACTTGATAAAGTCCGGATAATCCGACATTTGATTGACCTAGTCGATGCATGCAGTCATTACCGGGGCCACTGTAAACTCTCATGTAATGATACATACTCTTAACTCTTACAGTCGGGAATCTAAATAAATCTCTTTCTTGTCCCAGTCATAGTTGGTTTGGAGAAGATACCATCCATCTTTCTTGTTAGGCTCGAGATACTGCAAATATTTCTGAGTTGTCTAATGGTTACAAGCATACTTGAACGTGGTCGGTGCCATTAGGTCCTCTCGTTACTATAGCTCCCTCACCCGGCAGTTTTCCACCAACAATGAAGTATCCAGAAGCCAACATTGGATAAGTTTCTAAGAAGTTAACAGCCTGAAGATAGGTTATGTAAAAAGTAAAGTGAGAGGCTAACGTCTTTGAAGTTAGTATAGTTGGCTAGAACATCGCGATCCATATACAGTATCCATTCACGGCCAGTAATTCCGCGAACGAAGAAGTCAAGCATGTTATGACGAGTGTTTCCGAATCTCGCATTTGTAGATAGAGTAAATCCATGTGGACGTAATCCTGAAGTATATATATTGAATTTCATGTATGTGCTCTCTGGTTGAATGCAACAATTCTGAACGTTTTTGAATACCTGTTAGAACTCCCATATGTCCAGCGAAAGTTACTCCTTTGTATAGCAGCTTACCATCTTTCACATAATCCACATTAATCACCAAATCCTCAAACAGAGAACATAGTCAGAAAAGAACTTTCATCAAAGCATACTTTCAATGCAATAGTCTGTCCCCAAGTATGTTGCGTCATATTCCAAATGAATCCGGTACCGAAATCTTGATTACTACAAAGAGCGATATTCGAGGAAATACATAGCAGCAAGCCTTACCGGGCATGATAGATTTTTCCTTGAGGTGTTTGGGCAACGATCGAAGTACAACCTTTAGCTATTTCATAGAACATGTTCAACAGAGCAATCTCGCCCATTTGCACACCACTTATTCTAGCAAATCCCTGACATTCTTGGAAATATCTCTAATCTCTCGATGAAGACATTTACCGTTATTTCGCTCCGATAAGGCTCAGCTACGTTGTTTATTGACTTCTCACATATTTGAACGAGAGATTCATAGATACCAGGAACAAGGAAATCCAAAACAGCACGAACTGTATGGAGAGCAGCTAGCACCTGAACATCAATTTTATAATGCTGGTTATACTATGTGAGCATGAAAACCCTTGTTTCATAAACTTCAGCTACTTGTCTCCAACGCTCTCCGGGAGCTACATCCAAGTTGATAACGAACTTCGGAACTTGAGCTGCCAAAGTTGGATCGTATTGAGAAGCCTGATAATTAGAAGATGCAATGATTGAAGATTAAAAATCTTAATTTGTGGCATTGCACACTGCTGACAAACCAGCCCATAAATAACATTGATAAGCAGTAAAGTCTACTGAACACGTGCTTTCCAGTTATCAAATGGTATTCTTCGTGATTTTTCAGAAAATCGATAAAAATCGAATTAGAATAATCAATGAGTGAGCTTCTACAAAGAGAGCGAAAACACGAGGGCGAGAGGAAGAGAGAGAGAGAGATAACACTTCTCGAAATTTGTATTCAAATAATCATTTTGTTTGTACTATGCCTATGTTTCTAATGTCGCTGAAGAGTTGTGCTAACCTGTCCAACATAGCAGACCTCTCCATAGACACCCCATGGGTCTTCTTCAGCCCAACATGAACAGACACAGGAAAGGAGGAAAATGAAAAGAACAGAGGTTCTCATCATGCAGTTTGATTGTAACTAAACGAAAGAACAGTTGGTATAACAAAAACATATATGTTTTTTAGGAAATTGAGTGATTGAAATGATTTATTGAGAAGTAAAGAACGGAATGGAAATGAAAGTCTATCTGTCTCTTTCCTCTAGTTTATAGAGCTTTCTTCTGTTGGTTATCAGTTCGCCTGCATAGCCATTCCCATACAATGGAGAGCACTGATCGAAGAAGAGGTCAGTATGAACTATTTCTATTACAATTACGACCGAATAGTTAGCTAATGAGATCGAATATCTGTTAAACAGACTTCCATTTGCTTTTACCAACGAAAACTTTCTTTCTTCGTTGGATGTACGGAGGTACTGGTAAAGCATATCTGAAGGCATAGAAGCACACTAATGAACAGTCTGTGTTATCTTACGAAGCTCCTTGTGCAGGATTAGCATCGCGGTTTGGACATCGACAGTACCCTACGTCTTCTCCCGGAGAACCGACTTCACCAGTCTTAATGTAGTCCAGTTATCTTATCTTACTTTTGAATGTTCAACTTACTTTACCCCGAATGCCGTCGGAACCTGGTATGCCTGGGAGCCCATCTAGTCCTTTTTGACCGATTGGTCCTTCCTCACCCTTTGGACCTTTCTGTCCTGGATTTCCGGGACGACCAGGATCTCCTGGTTGTCCATTGAATCCGGGCGAACCAGGTTTACATATTAAGTTTATGGCTGAAACTCCTCTATGCCCTGTTGGTCCATTTTTTCCAGGTTTTCCTGAGTAAAAATTGTTTTCTATCACAGCGTGTTATCTTACCATCAGGACCAGGGTTACCTGGTGGCCCCGGCCAACCACGTTCACCCATCTGAGCAGGGAGACCTGGCTGTCCTTTTTTTCCTGAAGGTCCTGGAGGACCCTTCGGGCCATCTTCTCCTTCATCACCAGGAGGCCCTCTCGGACACTCTATACATTCATCAGGCACATATCTTACTGCAATACCATTAAGCCCAGCAAGACCTCTGTCTCCAGGAATTCCATTTTCTGAATTCAGTTGAAATTTGGGTTTTCTCCTATTCGGTACCTCCATTGAATCCTCTGCGGCCTGGTGGCCCTTTTCGGCCGGTGGGACATTTAGAGTTTGTTCCAAACTTGTCCGTTTCATGAGGACAACCTGTGAGAAAGATCAGGAACATTTACGAAGGGTTTCTCTCTGAGACAGAGACTCTCTAATCGAACTCACATTCACAGTGTGGCTGAGCCCAGGGTGCTGAAAACGGAGAAAATGAAGGTGACATCCCTCCACCTTCAGGCTTTTCTTCATCCGGCGTCAAACTGTAAACCCCTAATAACTTTTTCTTTCAGTTTTCTCACCTCTTCGGGCGAGCGTACGAATTCAATTTTCTTTTCCATCTGTGGCTACTCGTAGAGTTGAGAAGAACCATGAGATTTACCCATATTTCATCTGAGGTTTTCTGATGTTCCAGAAAGTTGTAAGAGTTGTTGTTGTTTAACTTACCTTCAACTCAGAGAGATCTTCCAGAGAGCTTAACTTGAAGCTGTCAATGTCAACAATCGCAAGGCAGAGGATGAGCCAAGTTAGGAAAATGAGGGCAATAAAGAAACTGTTTAGAACTTGCAAGAATCGGCAGCCAGAGGCCACAATGAACATCTCAAGACACGTTGCTGAGAGGAAAATAAGAAAGTCTTAGTGAAACACAGAATGGTTTGTATGTGATGAGAATTCTTCCATTTCTTTTATTCATTTTTTGTTTAGGGGAAGTCGTTGGATAACCGGTCACATCACTTTCAGTGATTTGAGAGCCCTTCTGTCAAAGGCTAATCTGAATCTGCTGAGATATGAAACATATTGAGAATTCTTTCTCCTCAAGCAGTGCGAAGAGAAAACTGCAAACTGTTGTTTCAAAGTTGCCATTGACTACTACAAATACAAGGGAAAGTGTGTACTAGATCCACATAATCAAAGACCTTCAGCAGATGAAATTCCTGATTTAGTAATGTTCACAACAGATGTTTTGGTTGTAAAGGATGTTTCAAGCAACTTCAGAGCAAACTAATCGAATTTCTGACAAACTGAACTATCTCACGATACTGCAAGCCTATTCATCACAAGATTTTCTATCTCTTTCAACTATTGTCCTGTTCTCCTCCAATTGATTCCTATGGCATCATACGAACAATGATGATGAAGTGGGTTGTTTGAGACTGAGTTTTTTGTTTTTGGGCAATATACATGAGTAGCTCAAAAAACAAAAAAGTTCACAATGATAGTTTGTCGTTCGGAGCACGATGAGCATTTCTCTCTTTTCTTCATTCGTTGCTCCCGATTTCAATTTGATACAGAACAACAGATATCTAGTAAACTTCTATCAAAACATTTGAAAACATCTGAAACACTACAGACTTGAAGAACTTTCTATTTCATCGAGCAATTTGGAGACTGAAGCCGCACAAGCAATGTACGCAAAAAGCCGAATGCCGTTGGTTTTCAATTGCGATCACGTCCAAAGTCAAACTCACTACACTTGAAGCTTCAAAAATTATCCAGACTGCCTGGTTGAGTGAACATCTACTTCCCTATGGTCTGAAAACTACTTAACAACTATGAATTCATCCACCTACGTTCTGTTCCTTTTTCGTTTTCGTTTTCGCTCATGATTTGGTTCTCTTTCTCTCTCGAAGTCAACTATAGCCATTCTCGTAGCCTTGCTAGCCATCCTTCCTGTACTAAGGTTTCAACCAGTATCTTTCAGATGTTATCACTCCGACTTATTCGTAGTTTTTCAACTACGATCCGCTATAGCTCGTCGGCTTCTTCATCGTCAAACTTGAAGGAGGCTAATGCTAGCACCTTGAATACACCTCTGATTAAAGGCTATGAGAAACCTGAAACTTATCATGTCAGGCATTTGCATCGAATCAGAATAATTAACCAACTTTACTGCGTTTCAGATTGATGGCAAATCATTTGAAACGGATGATTTATGGAATCTTTCGCCCGCTGTTCAAAAATTAATGGCCAGAAGATTACTTGAGGAGTCATCCAATCCTCTTTCGCTACTGAAACAGCGGCTAATTAACTATTTCCATCAAACTTATAGAAAACCCGGTATACTTTGATGTCATTATGTACTTATCAATAATACAAACAGTACTTTTATAGGGAATCGTTCTCCTCTGTTCACAATCTGTGATAAGGAGCCACGCGTTGTAACCACATATGAAAATTTCGACTCACTTCTCACTCCATTAGATCATGTCTCAAGGTTTTTTACTTTACTCTTCTAATTTTTATGTGATTCTGTCTCAGACGTCCTTCTGATACTTATTATGTGAACTCCACAAATTGCCTACGCGCCCACACTTCTGCTCATCAGCACAGCTT